GGGGGAAACCTCCAAAAAAATTACAAATTTAAAAATCGCTAATTTTCGAAATTTTTTCAATTTTTTTTACTAAAAACTGCCGTAACTTTTTTAAAAATGAACATATCAATATAATTCTTTTTATATAGATGCTTGATGTCTTTACTTATCATTTGGTATATTTTTTTTGTAAATCTGACACTTAACCAGCCCACAGGGGGGGATTTAAAATGACAACTTTTTCACAAAAAATTTTCTTTTTCAACATAACTTTTGAAAATGTTCCGGAAGGTCTGACACTTTTATATATATCTTAAATTAAAGCTAATGTAATGTACTTTAATATGAAAAAAACAAATTTAACCTCTGGACTTGTCTTCGTGGTGAAAACGGCTACCGAGTGCTATTTTTGTGTGAAAATTCTCGATTTTATTTTTTACATTTTTAACATTATAATGCTATAANTTGACCTCTGGACTTGTCTTCGTGGTGAAAGTTGACATCAAAGTTAATAAAAAATTACGATTTTTGTAAAATAATTTTTTTTTATATTTTTAACTTAAAAATGCTATAACTTTTTCAAAAATGAACATATCAATATAATTCTTTTTTATATAGATGCTTGATGTCTTTACTTATCATTTGGTATATTTTTTTTGTAAATCTGACACTTAACCTGCCCACAGGGGGGGATTTAAAATGACAACTTTTTCACAAAAAATTGACTTTTTCAACTTAAATTTTGAAAGTGTTCCGGAAGGTCTGACACTTTTATATATATCTTAAATTAAAGCTAATGTAATATACTTTATCATGGAAAAAAAAAATTTCGGACTTTATTTTATCTTCAAGGTGAAAATGGCTACCAAATGCTATTATTGTGTGAAAATTCTCGATTTTATTTTTTACATTTTTAACATTATAATGCTATAACTAATTAAAAAGTTTATGGATCCACACAAATTTTTTTTGAGAAATAATATTTTTTAATAAACCCTTTTTCATTCGACATACTTTATCTTAATCGAGATATTAATAAGGAACCCGCAGATCAAGTAGCTTTTGAAATAAAACACCAATTTTTTTAAAATTAAACACTATCTAAAGATTTGCATCGAAGCGTTTATTTTTGATAGTGATTTTAATCACTGTCAGATATCATTATACTTGATCCAACTATACCACGTCACAACTGTGCCGCGACCCCCCTGTGCTGGGTT